ACCTCCAACCAATTTATTCCCCCGCAAACCCCACCCGGATTCCCCCTTTCAGAGAAGCGACCTGCGACCGATCGACGAAGGTTCTCGAACGTACAGCACTTCCCCGCACGCCGGCCTCTTGTGCTCCTCGCCAGGAACCTTCACGAAGCCGACCATGTTCAGGTTCTCCCTGTAGCTGATTTTCCGAAAGCCTAGAGTTTCCAGGCTTGTGAGCACGTCGTGTTGTCTCTGCAAGAAGGGAGGGTGAAGTCAGTAAGCTGAAATATTAATGGTGGTAATTATTATAGTACTACTCATAAAAGTCAACTAAAAGGGAAGGAAGGGTAGAATGACTGATTGGTTGGATGATTGACTGACTGACTGACTGACAGAGAGGTAGACAGATTAACTGACTGACAGAGAGGCAAACGGACTTATTATCTGACTAACAGACAAACAGAGATACTGACAGACTCACAGAGAGACAGACATATTGACTCCCAAACAGACAGAGAGGCAGACAGACTGGTTGACTGACAAACAGACAACCAGAAAAGAAGAGACTGACTGACTGACAAAATGACAGACAGACAGTGAGAGAGACTGACTGACAATATCTTTTGGAAGGAAGTAACAAACCAAAATGGAAACAGAAAAAGAACAAGTAATCAAATCTTGATGGAAATGCATAAATGTGTGAATCTAAACTGCATGCATCAAACTTATCAGAATGACAATGAAAAAAAAAATTTAAGTGAGTACTGTTACTTCTTCCTTTGATGTCTTACACACACGCTACACACACACACACACACATATATATATATATATATATATATATATATATATATATATATATATATATATATATATATATATATGTGTGTGTGTGTGTGTGTGTGTGTGTGGGTGTGTGTGTGTGTGCGCGCGCTCATTAGCCTATCAACAATGACTTCTAATCTGATTTCACTTCACCTGCAAGTGCTCCATCCACTTCTCAAACGGCAAATTATTCAAGAAAGTGCTGTGCAACTCCATCGCCAGCTGCCATACGTTGTCAAGTAGCCCCTTTTCCAACAGGTATGGAAGTACCTGTAATCAGTTTTCTTTTTTTAATATGAAGGGTCTATAATTTTTTATTTATATAGGGGACTTTTCCTCCTTCCTGCGTTAGATTTAGATGTAGATATTTGTTTGTCTCGTTTATATCGTTGTGGGAAGATTTTCAGACTTAATTCAAGTATGGGAAATTAATACAGACTTGATTTACGATATTGATAAACATTACAGCGTGCACACTACACAGTGACTCATTATTTCTTCTTTATATATTGATGGTGAATACTACATGCTGATATATATTCTTTTAAAAATCTGTGAATATTCCTTTTTTAATTACTTCAAGTTTAAGATAATAGGCAATATACAAAAAAATTTTACTCCCATTCACTAGATTTCCTATATTTTACAAGATCAACATTGCAAATACACCCACATTATAATCAACGTAAACCCATTCACTGGACTGTACACGAATATCAACATTTCAATTCATTACAATGAACAAAAAAAAAACATTCATTATGTTTCACAAGACAAATACACACATTACACATACGAAAATCTCATCAAACTTACCACCCATTCACTAGATTCTATATCTAGCTTAAGATAGTGAATGGTTCGTCCCAAGTGACCATTTTGCCGTAGAATACTATCAAAGGTATTGAATTTATAGGTAACACCTTTGTGGACCAAAACCTTTTCACTTTCACCGAGACCCAGTTTGTGGAATTTGATTTTCTCGCCGCTTTCCTGGAAAGATATGTAATCAGAATAAGAAAGGAAGTAAATACAAAAAAATAAAAAATAAATAAAAAATAAAATAAAAAAAATAAACAGATATATGTGTATGTGTGTCTGCCTGCATATGTATATATATATATATATATATATATATATATATATATATATATAAATATATATATATATGTATGCATGTATGTACGTGATACATACACATATATACGCACATTTTTTACGTGTGTGTGAGTGTTTGTGTGTGAATGTATGCGTATGTTTGTGTGTGTGTGTGTGAATGTATGCGTATGTTTGTGTGTGTGTGTGAATGTATGCGTATGTTTGTGTGTGCGCGCGCATGTGTAACTCAAAAAGATATTCGTCCTCTCACCACACGCCATGTGAGACGAATTGCTAACCCCACACTATGCTGCTACTCCAACACACCGAGGCGAGCAAAAATAGGATAATATTTATAAAATAACGGAAAATACTCTTTTGACGTTGGTGACTGAGGACCCAGCGCAACATCAAATATCATTGTTAATATCATCATAAACCTGCAATTATCTCATAATTATCATAATTAACCAAATAATTATCAAATAATTACAATTACTAACTTGTTAGATATCGAAGAATTTTCATAATTAACCTGTCAATTATCGAATAATGATCAACATTTATTATGGTAATTATTAATCAGTTACCATCATTAACCTGCCTATCATCAAATAATGATCACTAGGCCTTTTCCGGTGCCAAGAGGTGTATTACTAGTTTCCCATGACTCCGCCCCTATTTATGGGGGCGGAGTCATATATAAGCAACTGCACCTGGCTGATGAGCGGAGCACCTCTGCTCGTTTTAAAACTGGAAGAAAATGGGAAGTTCAAAGTTGATGCTGCACTGTATGGTGCAATATTAGTAACTTTGATGATGTTAATGAGGATATTATTGCACTAAGTACTAGTTTGAAAGTATTTACGCGCGCGCGCGCGCGCGTATATATGTGTGCATATATGCATATATATTATATATATACATACAGAAATGTATACATACATACATACATACCTATATATACAGTATACACATACATATATATTCAAACATATGTATACACACATGCATATATATATATATATATATATATATATATATATATATATATATATATATATATATATATATATATATATATATATATATATATTTATATATATAACGATATATATATATACATATACATATATATGCATTTATGTATGTATATGTATATATATACATATATGCAGAAATATATTAAAATATACATTACTACCATATATAATAATATAGAGTTTAAGGTTTATATGCTTTCGTATTAATTAATAGGGCTACGGCTAAGAAGAGCGAGGTTCAGGTTTATCTTTCGTATGTGTACATTTTTATGCGATATGTCATGAAAGGCTTGTTACTGTTTTTCTTATATCATTTATGCTTTCATCTTGGGCAATATTCAGGCCTCCAAAAGTGTTCCATGACGAATAATACGGGGAAGTATCTCGTTTTATTTACAGAATGTGTTCGAATGGTCAAAAGAATATTATGGAAATTTATATTAGGTTTTACATTCTCATTTTACTTAATATGTATATATAATTGAATATGCTGACGTAAACTTATATATCCTTTCGAATGTAGTTGATATCAATCAATAAATAGTGTCATTTTCAAAATATTTAAAGAAGTGTGACCTTCGAAACCATTGTCGATGGACGAATGAAGAAGTATGATGGGAGGTGCTTAGGACCCGCGCATTTTCAACTGATTTCAATAGTTTTCCGTCGTTTGATTTGTAATTTGAAGATGTTGATAACTAACAACCTGTATTTATTGTTATTTCCTAATGTTACATCAGTAAACCAGTGATTTGTTAATTGATACAATTCAAAAACAAAATCAGATTCGTCAATTCGAGTACAATTCCTAGGAATGGGGGTGGAGCCGCATCTGTGGCCACAGCGTAGAAGCATCGGCAGCAAATAGAAAAAACGACACCCTCTAGTGTAGTTAGACAGTTTCTTGGCACCGGAAAAAAGGCCTACTGTTTTGTTAATTAGTAACAAATGCATCTTCATCTCGAAAAGGTAAAGTAATAGCTAGATTAATAAATAAATGAACATATACATGAATAAGTAAACGAGATAGATGAATAAATAAATACACAAAATAGACAAGTAATAAAGGAAACAAAACATGAGAATATGGGAAACGCACTTATCACCAAATCGATTTTTTCGAGAATCTCTGTTGAGGGAAAATATATAAATAAATAAATACAAAACATATACAAACAAATAGGTAAATAATAAAGATTACAAACAAAATCTGAAAAAAGGGGAAACGCACTTATCACTAAATCGCAGAAATTTTAAGAGAATCTCCGTAAGAGAAAATAAGTAAATAAACAGATAAACAAACTAATAAACAAATACACAAACTAGATATAGATAAATCAATAGTAAACAAAATAAAACATTAAGATTCAATTTAAAAAAAAGGGGGGGGGGGGGAAACGCACCCACCACCAAATCACAAAATGTTTAAAAGAAAATATCCGTTACGGGAAAGATGACGTCATCAGCGCGGGATTTTATTTCATTTTCGCAAGACAAAGTTATTTGATTGACAGCTTCACCACCGAGGCAAAATTAACCAGTTCGTAGAGTAATCGAACATGGTACAGGGTACACGGTACATCGGGAACAGAGATAGCAAAGCGCAATACAAATTCACTTAAAATTTATTAACCTTGTTTTTTTTCGGGGGGGGGGTAGGTTGATCGAAAGACAAAATAGATATTTGATAGTGAATAGACAGATTATGAGATGGAGAACTGTGTATGCAAATAGGTACGTAGATAGATGGTAAAATGTTTTGTATTTGGATAGATAGACAAATTGACAGATAGATCGATGTGTGTTGATAGATAGATTGACAGATTTAGACAGATAAGCAGATAGTTAGACAAATAGGTGGGTATAGATATTTAGACAAACGGATATATAGACAAATATATAAAAAGATGAACAGAAAGGTAGATAGGTAGTTTGATATATACGCATACACACACACACACACACACACACACACACACACACACACACACACACACACACACACACATATATATATATATATAATATATATATTATATATATATATATATATATATATATATATATATATATATATATATATAGACATATACAGACAGACAAATTTAGAGACATATGTAGATATATAAATGAGATCTGTACAAAAAAGCATCCGCCATTTTTTTTTTTTTTTTCCTCGAAACAGACGACGAGCAAGAACGAAGACCTCTGCAATGACACACCCGATCGTTGCATGCAATGAGTAACCGTAATGGGTAAGCTTTGACGGAACGTCCTCAGTAATCTCTGTCTATATACGGGATGGATAGATAGATGGATATATAGACAAATGTATCAAAGAAATAGGTAAACAAATGTGAATAAGTAAATGTATCGACAGATAAATAAACATATAATTACATAAGCATTCAAACAGATCGAAAACGGACAAGAGACACACAAAGGCGACCACACAAAAGTTGCTCCCAAACGTACCATGAACTTAGATAATTGCGGCCAAATGTACCATTAGATTAAATAATTGCACCTAAACTTACCATCAAAATAAGTCTATTGCCCCTAAACTTACCATGAATATGCATCAATTGCGCCTAAACTTTCCATTAAAATAAATCTATTGCCCCTAAAATTACCATGAATTAAAATGCCTGCGCCCAAGCTTTCCATTAAAATAAATTAATTGCACCTAAACTTAACATCAAAATAAATCTACTACCGCTAAACTTACCATGAACTAAAATAACTGCGCCCAAAAAATACTATCAAATAAATCTATTGCGCCTAAACTTACCATCAAATTACCCCTAAACTTACCATGAACTAAAATACCTGCGCCTAAACTTAAACTTACCATGAACTAAAATAAGTGCGCCCAAACCTACATTCAAAATATCCGAGGCGTTTATACTCGGGTCGAACAAATGAAGTTCACAATCCGCAAACTCGATAATGGAGTCCTCAAAACTGATATCATCACCTGCGCCGAAGGAATACACGAGGCAGTCCTTCTTCGGCATCGCCACGTGGTCGTCTAAACACACCTGGTGGGTGGGAGAGGATGGGGGGAAAAGGCGTTAGAAAAGGTGGATTCTGTTGGGGTTTCGTTTTTGGTGGATAGGGGAGGGGAGGGGGGGGTATAGGAGAAGGGGGATAGGGGAGGAGAGAGACAGGGGGAAGGGGATAGGAGAGGCATAGCCACGTGGTCGTCTAAACACACCTGGTGGGTGGGAGAGGATGGGGGGGGGGGAAAGGCGTTAGAAAAGGTGGATTTTTGTTGGGGTTTCGTTTTTGGTGGATAGGGGAGGAGAGGAGGGGGGTATATAGGGGAGGAGAGGAGAGGGGGGAGGGAGATAGGAGAGGCATAGCCAGGTGTGGTCGTCTAAACACACCTGGTGGGTTGGAGAGAATGGGGGGGGGGGGGAAGGCGTTAGAAAAGGTGGATTTTGTTGGGGTTTCGTTTTTGGTGGTGGGTTGGTGGATAGGGGAGGGGGGAAGGAGAATAGGGATGAGAGGAGAGGGGAGGAGGGAGGAAGGGGGATAGGTGAGGAGAGGAGACAGGGGGGAGGGGGATAGGAGAGGCATAGCCAGGTGGTCGTCTAAACACACCTGGTGGGTGGGAGAGGATGGGGGGGGGAAAAAGAGTTAGAAAAGGTGGATTCTGTTGGGGTTTCGTTTTTGGTGGATAGGGGAGGAGAGAGGAGGGGGGTATATAGGGAAGGGGGATAGGGGAGGAGAGGAGAGGGGGGAGGGAGATAGGAGAGGCATAGCCAGGTGGTCGTCTAAACACACCTGGTGGGTTGGAGAGGATGGGGGGGGGGGAAAGGCGTTAGAAAAGGTGGATTTTGTTGGGGTTTCGTTTTTGGTGGTGGGTTGGTGGATAGGGGAGGGGGGAAGGAGGATAGGGGATGAGAGGAGAGGGGGGAGGGGGATAAGAGAGGCATTGCCACGTGGTCGTCTAAACACACCTGGTGGGTTGGAGAGGATGGAGGAAAAAAAGAGTTAGAAAAGGTGGATTTTGTTGGGGTTTCGTTTTTGGTGGTGGGTTGGGGGATAGGGGAGGGGGAAGGGGGATAGGGGATGGGAGGAGGGGAGGAGGGGGGAAGGGGGATAGGAGAGGAGAGGAGACGTGAGGGAGGGGGATAGGAGAGGCATAGCCACGTGGTCGTCTAAACACACCTGGTGGGTTGGAGAGGATAGGGGAAAAAAGAGTTAGAAAAGGTGGATTTTGTTGGGTTTCGTTTTTGGTGGATAGGGGGGAGGAGTGGGGAGGGGGGGAGGGGATAGGGGAGGAGAGAGGAGGGGGGATAGGGAAGGAGAGGGGAGGGAGGGGACGGGGGATGAGGTGAGGGAGGGTTGGGGGGAGTGAAGGGAGTGCAGAGGGAGGAAAAGGAAGAGAGATAGAAGTGAAAGAAGAGAGGAGGAGTGGGGAGGGATGAAGGGAAAAGGGAGTGAGAAGAAAGAGAGAATGTATAAAACAAACAAACACAGACACAAACACACATACATACACACGTACATATATATCTATATCTATCTATATGTATGTATATATATACTGTATAGATATAGACAGACAGACAGATAGATAAATATATAAACAGTGATACTAACCTGTTTGTCTCCATCCATCCACAGCTTACACGATGTTCCGCCAAAAGTTACCAGCTTTCTGCAATATCCGTTGGGCTGTTCAAGTGACTCAAAGTACTCAGTAGGGTTCTTCAAAAGCCGTTTAGTCTTGTTTTTAACCTCTACGATTCTGAGGAAGGGATCGTTGGGTTAAGAAGGGAAAAAATTGCAGTGATCATGAATGTAACGATTATTACGATGGTGATGATGATAGGTATGTTATTATCATTATTGTTGTTGTTGATGTTATGTATTTTTTCATCTTAGTTGTTATTGATGTTATATTTTTCATCACCGTTGTTATTGATGTTATTATTATCGAAGTTGTTATGCTTATTTTTATCGTTGTTCTGTGGCTTATACTTATTATTTTGATGATTATGTCATTCTTGATATCTCACTTTCGTCACCAATATCATTATCACCATCATAATTATTAGCATGAGCACTGACAATATTTTTTTTTTCGAAAAGGAAACAGATCGATTAGTAAGTTGATATATAGCTAGACAGATAGACATATGTAAATATAGATAAAGATATAGATAGATATGGAAACAGAGACAGATATATAGATACAGATATATATAAAGATATAGATATAGGTAAAGATATACATAGATATGGAAACAGAGACAGATATAGATGTAGATAAATATATAGTTATATTGCTATGGACAAAGATATAGATTTATAGATTATGTATATATATTGATGCAGAAACATACATAAACACAGATATGGACTTAGACGTATACACATTTAAAAAGTAAGAAAAAAAAGAGAAAAAAGGAAAAAATAGTAAGAGAAAGAGAGTGAGAAAAAATAAAGAAACAAGAACGAAAAAAACGTAAATATTTAGAGATAGAAAACGAATGAGGAGAGAGAGAAAAAAAAGAGAGAAACAAGGACGAAAAAAAAGGTAAATATTTAGAGATAGAAAACGAATGAGGAGAGAGAGAAAAAAAAAAGAAACAAGGACGAAAAAAACGTAAATATTTAGAGATAGAAAACGAATGAGGAGAGAGAGAAAACAATACAAAAAACCAGGACGAAAAAAAACGTAAATATTTAGAGATAGAAAACGGATGAGGAGAAATTACTTAGACCAAAAAAATCTTAAGAGTAGAAAATTCTTTCGCACGTACCTTGAGGTCTGGGTCGTGTGTTGCAGGTTACTATATGCAACAGAAGTAGGTTGCAACATGTCTGTACGCCCACCAAGCACGGTAAAGAGTACTAGACACGCCCATGCCGATACTACGAGTCGTAATTTAGTGCTCATGGTGAAATCTGTTGCCCTGAGTCTCATATTTGTTCGTTATATATATGGATATGTTATTATATTTTATGTCTTTTTCGTCTATATATATATACTTTTTTTAGAAGGATAAAGAGAAGGGATTTTTTTCTTGATCTTCTTCTTCTTCTCTTTTCTTCTCCTTCTTTTTCTTTTTCTTCTTTCTTCTTTCTTTTTTTCTTTTTCTTTCTTTTTTTCTTTTTCTTCCCCTTCTTCTGTTCTTTCTCCTTTTTGTTTCTTCTTTTTCTTTTCTGCGTGTGCTTCACCTTCGTTTTCTTCTTCTTTTCTTCTTCTGTAAGAAGAAAATAACTGAAAATTATTATTCGTTTCACCTCTCTTCCTTGATCAATTATCTCCATTCTTTGTAAAACATATTATTACCTTATTTATTGCTTATTTATCCGTCTACATCCATTTACTTATTTACTTCTCTGGTTTCACTATTTTATCTGTCTACTTTGCTACTTTATATACTTATCTTAATTTACTTTTACTTTTATTTACTATATCTCGATTCATCTATCTATTGCATTTTACTGTTTTATCTTCTTCATTTATCTATTTTCTTTACTTACTTTACTTTACTCTATATGTGTACTTTACTTATATATGTATCTACTTTACTTAGCTTTACATACTACACTCCCTTACTTTATTTAACTATCCATCTACTTTATCTCTATCTATCTATCTACAGCTTCCATGTGATTTCGCCCATGAGTTTTAATAGCCATGGGGTTCATATATATATATATATATATATATATATATATATATATATATATATATATATATATATATATATATATATATATATATATATATATATATGTGTGTGTGTGTGTGGTGTGTGTGTGTGTGTGTGTGTGTGTGTGTGTGTGTGTGTGTGCATAAATGCACACACACACACACACACACACACACACACACACACACACACACACACACACACACACACACACACACACACACACACACAACACACACACACACACACACACACACACACACACACACACAACACACAACACACACACACACACACACACACACACATACACACACACACACACAAATATATAGATAGATAGATAGATAGATAAATAGATAGATATACATATGTATATATAATATATATTATATGTATATATGTATATATATATATATATATATATATATATATATTATTATTCATTTACTCATACCCTGCATACTTATTGTACGAATATATGTATATATGTATGCAAAAAGGTATCTGTAACATATACATCTTTCAATATACATCCAAATATATGCCTACGTATGTGTGTGCTTGAGTGCGCCCTTTTTGGACCTGCACAATGATCTTGCCAAAGTGTAAACCCATTTTGAGAATATTACATTACACAGATAATCTTTGTTGGTCTCATAACTGTCTGCTCAGGTTGTGGTTTTGATATCAGTGTATGAGGTGGTCTTCTTCCTCAATTCAATAGAACTTTAGTGGAATATCAACTTCAAGAATCATTCTGTAATGCAGATGTTGTATTTCTTATCTTCTCTCTCTCTCTCTCTCTCTCTCTCTCTCTCTCTCTCTCTCTCTCTCTCTCTCTCTCTCTCTCTCTCTCTCTCTCTCTCTCTCTCTCTCTCTCTCTCTCTCTCTCTCTGTCTCTCTCTCTCTCTCTCTCTCTCTCTCTCTCTCCTCTCTCTCTCTCTCTCTCTCTCCTCTCTCTCTCTCTCTCTCTCTCTCTCTCTCTCTCTCTTTCTGTCTCTGTCTGGGTTTCTGTCTCTCTCGTTCTCGTTCTCATTCTCTCTCTCTCTCTCTCTCTCTCTCTCTCTCTCTCTCTCTCTCTCTCTCTCTCTCTCTCTCTCTCTCTCTCTCTCTCTCTCTCTCTCTCTCTCTCTCACTCTTCTTCTCTCTCCTCTCTCTCCTCTCCCTCCTCCCTCCTCCTCTCCTCTCTCTCCTCTCTCTCTCCTCTCTCTCTCTCTCTCTCTCTCTCTCTCTCTCTCTCTCTCTCTCTCTCTCTCTCTCTCTCTCTCCTCTCTCTCTTTCTCTCTCTCTCTCTCTCAAAATTTGATCTCACATCACGCGACAATCACATCGTAAGTAACTAATGCATGTATATTCACATATGCGTACCACATACATACAAAACAGGCAGTAACGCACGCATAACCAAATACACATAAATGTATGCCACCATTCCCTCTCTGTCTGTTTTTCTGTCTCTCTCTCTCTCTCTCTCTCTCTCTCTCTCTCTCTCTCTCTCTCTCTCTCTCTCTCTCTCTCTCTCTCTCTTCTCTCTCTCTCTCTCTCTCTCTCTCTTCCTCCCCCGCCCTCTCTTCCTCTCTCACCCTCTCTACCTCTCTCCCGCCTTCTCTACCTCTCTCCCTCTCCTTCTCCCTCTCTCTCTTTTTCTCTCCTCTCTCCCTTTCCCTCTATTCTCTCTATCTCCTCTCTCTTTCTCTCTCTCCCTCTGCAACTCCCTCTCCATCTCCTCTCTCTCTCTCTCTGTCTAATTATCTATCTATCTACCTTTCATTCTCTCTCCCACTCAATCTCCTCTCTCTTTTCCCTCTCCCTCTCCCTCTCCCTCCCCTCCTCTCTCCTCCCCCTCCCCCTCCCCCTCCCCCTCTCCCTCCCCCTCCTCTCTCCCTCTCCCTCCCACTCCCCTCCCCCTCCTCTCTCCTCTCTCTCTCTCTCTCTCTCTCTCTCTCTCTCTCTCTCTCTCTCTCTCTCTCTCTCTCTCTCTCTCTCTCTCTCTCTCTCTCTCTCTCTCTCCTTGTATCCAAATACTGAGCTCCGTAAGGCTGTCCTAATATCCTCTGCACTTTCACTTTCTCTTCTCTTAGATAAATATAACCTCTCTGCGCGAAAACAGCTTCCACGGCAAAGTCTTTTCAGTGTACTATGTAATACAAGGAATTTAACGCCATTTACGACCTCCTCTATTCTCACAGTAGGTAATGTTTAAGCAGCGAGGTATTTTCACCGTGTTCTCTCGCGCACATTTCCATCTGAATCTATAAAATTATTCGCTTTCTTTCCTGTACGCGGTTATATTCATACTCTATTTTCCGGGTGATATATATTCATTAATCTCTAATAACACAGAACGATTTATTACTCTATGTGAAACGGAAAATCATTTTGTTGTTGTTTAAAGTGAATGTTAACGCTGCCACCTTCTAGTGAACTTTCTGGATCAATGACACGCACATTTCTTATTACAATTTATTGCGATGATGTCGTCTTTACTCCCTTTATGCTGGAATTTTATACCGTCTTTGTATTATTTCAACACCAATAACTGTCTGTTCCATTTAAATGTTTATATTTACTTAGCCACTGGCTGTGTTTACCGAGCGATTTTCAGGAAGTTTTAACAGGTCGGTAAAATTTATGTGGGTTTCAACAAACACCAAAAAATATAGTAATATCTTTGCTTTCTTTCCAACCGCTCCGTAACAAAAAATGCAATACAAAAAATAACGAACAGGAGAAAAAAAATAAGAGACACAAAAACAAGAAACAAAAGCACATCACCTCAGTTCTCTATATAGCGCACTTCCACTCGAAGTCTATATAAGTACTTATATAGCCCTTGCTTCCACTCGCTGTTCACCCAATATACACTTTTATTATCCTC